TCCCTTCCCCAAAAAGCCCAAACAACCCAACTCTCTCCTCAAGAAAATCTAAAACAAACAAGCAAACAAAACAAACACACACCCCCCCCAAAAAAAAAAAAAAAAAAAAACACACCAGAAGAACTCTTTAAAATTAGGTTAGAAATAATCTGACAAATCTTCAGGTATGTGATAGCGTTTAATGCCAATAAAGATTTCTTTCAGTTAGAAATTCTGATTCTTAGTAACTGCAGAAATGCTCCTTGTGTGCATAAAATGAGAACATTTTTCTTTAAAGTTGCTCTTATCAATGTGTAAATATTTCGTATAGCACTGTAAAACTTGGGGATGGGTGGGGAGAGACCACTCATTTCTCTTCGTAACGCGTAGCACTTCTGAAAGTGCTTTTTGGTGTGTGTGTGATGGTGTGCCTTGGGGCAGTCACTCTTGATACCAAAATTGACATGATTTTGCTGACAAGTGTTTAGCATGTTTTGGGTGTTTTCACTTTGTTTTTCTAAGGCCTGTTACCCTGGATCTATGTTTATATAAGTTGATTTGCTTAGTATGTTCAACATTTGTCTCATTTAACAAGGATTCGCTTCACCTAAACATAAATGAGCTATAATATAGTGTCAGATATTGGATTTGTGCATTTGTTTTATGAAGTAGCATGTCTTGCATTCCTTGGTTGCCCCAGAAATGTTGATTTTAATTGAGAATATTTACCCATTTTTGTTCCTGTGCACACAGTACAGAGCTGTGACTCTAGTTCATGAGTATGTAGCATTTAATTTGATAATGCAGTATGAAGTGTAATGGCTGATTTATAGGTTCCATTGATTTGATATAATTTGCTAATACTTAAAAATTTTGAGGTTGATAGTAGCACTTGATCACGGTACAGCTCAGGCCATGTAAAATAGAAGATACTGAATGTAAGGACTGGGGCAATTGTCACATAACATGGCTACTGGGAGAGCAGATAGGGAGGGGAATCTGTTTGGACGTTGTACTTTAAACCCAGCCAGCAGCTAAGCACCAGGCAGCCACTCACTCATCTTCCCCACAGATTCAGAGAAGAACTGGAAAAAGGTAAAAGCCATGGGCTGAGATAAAAACAGTTTAAAAAAACTGGTTGGTAATTAAGAGAACACTTTAGTAATTAAAAAGTAAAATATTATTAACAGAAAAGGTAAATAAAAAGAGAGGGAGAAATAAAATCCAATAACCACAAGTGATGCACAATACAATTGTTTACCACCCGCTGACTGGTAATCCAGCCTGACCCAAAGAGTAATCATGCCCTTTTGGGTAACTCTCCCCAGTTTATATACTGGGCATGATGTGCTGTGGTATGAAATACCCTTTTGGCTAGTTTGGGTCAGGTGTCCTGTCTCTGCTGCTTCTCACTGGCAGAGCATGAGAAATTGGAAAGTCCTTGATCAGGGTAAGCGCTACTTAGCAACAACTAAAACATAAGTGTGTTATCAGCATTATTCTCGGGCTAAATCCAAAAACACAGCGCTGTTCCAGCTACTGGGAAGAAAATTAACTCTATCCCAGCTGAAACAGGACGTTAATGTAGGGAAAGATATGTTTGTTGTGTCAGTGTTCTTGTTCTGTCCGTTTAGACTTTTTCTGCACTGCTGTTCAAAACAGAGGGAAAGATCATTCCCTATGGAGAATGTCCTGTTTCCATACTTAATGTAACTTTGAGAAATACACACTACTCATAGCAACTTGCTGTGCTGCACATGCTGCAGATACGAACAAAATGAAGACCTGTATTCCTTCCTGTAGTAGTATTTGAACATTTCATCCATGTAAGTGGAGGTTTGCCTGCTTTGTATCCCCTAATTTGATGAGCATGACTTGGAAGTTGTGGAAAAGGACTCATCTATTGCAATGTATTTTATGTGGTTTCTTAGTATATAGCATTAAAAACTCAGGATATGGAGGTAAGTGTAAGGACTGTGGTTAGGTGGAGGTTGAAGAGAAACATTTTGAGGGAAGGGGGGCAATAAATGTGTAGAGTGCAGAGCTGAATGGGAGAGAACAAAGAGTTTGCCTTATTGAACAATCATTAGTATGATTTTAATGTAATCAGTTTGCTTACTTTGAGACTTTCATCTGTTGTTTCTCTAAGACTACTGGTTGAAGTTCAGTTGGTCAAGTAAGGACTTGCCAACTTCTCCCAAGAGATACTCAGCTAGGGAAAAGTTGGAAGGTGCTACTGCCTATAATGGCTCTCCATGTTAACAGCTCCATAGGAGCATTAAATGTACTTTGTGTGGTATGCTTATACAGTCTTGAGGAATCATTAATACTGTCCTGGCTCTCAAAATTGCTTCTTCCACAGTCCATCTATCCCATATCCAGCTATGTTTGGAAAAACTGGTGAATATTGTTTCAGTGTGTTCCTACAGTTAACTGCAAAAATGGTTCTGTAATGCAATGAGACAACTTTTTCCTTTTGTTTCTTACTCTGCACTCAAGTAGCATATAAAAACAAAGGCTATAAAATATGCACCTTAGACATTTTATAAGCTCATAGCATTACGTGGCTTTTTGTCGGATTTAAATGGAAATAAATGAATGTGTTATCAGGGTTGCAGTGGTGTTCTCCCATTTTCCACTGTTCCCAGAACTGAATTGCATAAGTATAACATAAATAGAGGGGAGGAGTAGCACATGGTGGTACTATAATTTAAACAGAGTCTGTGAAGCATTACTGGGCAGTGTTTTTACATCTGTATTTTCTTTACCAGCTTTCATTGCTTTGTAAAATTAACTTGCGGAAAAGTGAAAAAAATATTCCCCAGTATGAAGGTTTATGTGTAGTCCAGTCCAATATAATAAATAAATGCAAATTTATAAATAAATAGTTTTTTTTTATAAATAATTAGGCTAAAAAGGAAATAATTGCTGCATGTGGCATGTTTCTTAGTGGACCTGAATGTTGGAAAACCTGTGCAACCAAAGATGCAGTTTGCATTAATAGTACCTGTAGTAAATGAGTTGTATTGTGGAAACCAGCATGGCAGTGACACCAGTTTAATTAACGCTGTAGTAATGGGGGGTTTTCAGTACACACGGGAAAACTGTCAGTAGTTGCCACATGCAGACAAATTAGAACTTTGTTTGCTATTATATTTTTGTGCAAGTATCATTTCTGCTTGTTTTGTGACCCTGCCTACAGTGGGTCTATAACATTCTGACCTGGAATTGTTTGTGTGCGTATTTAGGAAGGGTAAAATATGCATGTCTTAAACTTTTCTTAAAGCCACTCTGTGATACCTTCTACCTTACAACAGTCCCTTCAATGATTAGAATGTGATAGATAATTCTACATAAGTAGTTATTTTGGTGACAGCTGCTCCATTTAATTATCTTCTGATCTTGTGTCTATTCATTTTTACTTGCTTAGAATGATGAGTTAGTTGCAAAATTTAGTATTTTGGTGGAAAGTACCAACTTTTAGAATATCAAAGATCATGTTAAAATATGTAATAATTCAGTGGAGCGCTTTTATTAATTGGAGTCAAGGTTTTTGTTAGCAAGTTTCTAGGCATAGCAATTAGTTGCTTAGGGCAGGAAGAAAATAATACTGTTTTGTTCATCCAGATGTGATGAGGTCTTAATTTATGACCGCAGCTTTTGGATATTGTGGTCATGCAAATACATAAACAAAGTTTGAGAGTCATCTCTTTTTTTGTTACTGTATTTGACCTAGTTAATTTAGGTTCTCTTCTTGAACGAGTAAACAAGCCTGATTCACCTTCAGTACGTTCACCTTGTGTAGGTTCCTTTCTCTTTGGTGGAAAGCAAGGTGACAAGGTCAGATGTCACGTCCACAGAGATGCTAGTGGTGAGGTGACAAATCTAAATTATTTATGCCTTTAGAATGTCTAAAATAATGCAGTAGCAGCTCCTAAACTTGAATATGCTTTAAAATGTAAGAAACTGTGAATTGGAACAGTTGCTGCACAATTGTTATATAATCCAAACAAAATGATGGAAAATTTACAGCCTGATTGATAGTTCAGTACAAATACACATTGATCCACCAAGATCCATACAAATCACAAGACATGGATACAAAGCAGAGATATGAGTTGGAGTACCTAGTTTTGAACTCAGATCACCAATCAAATTTATTTCAGATTTAAATGTTGCGTTTTTGCTGAAGTGAATGAAAATGGGCATTCCATGCAATCCAGAAAAAAAAAGTAGCTGTAAGGGTTATTAATATAAAGAAAGAATGGTACCAAGTTAATGATGTGTTGGATTCTAATTGGTAACAGTACTATTAGAATAGTTTTAATTGATACCAGTTCTAAATGAATCAATAACAAACTTTTTTGTCAGTGCTCGTTGTGTATTAATAGTTTTAATTTTTGTTCCAGTATACTTCTGGGAGCAGTGTTGCTTAATGGCATCAAGATAGTGTTGATGCTTGTTATGAATAGGCTGCATTACTTATTCATTAGCAAAACATGCTAATCACACACTCAAAAGGTGACATAATCACTCACTATGCTTTCGTATTTTCATTGTATTGAATACTTCTGTGAATGACAGTGCTGAACGTAGTTTCCAGTTTTCTCAAAACACACAAATCTTGGCTCCGAAAGTTGTGTAATTGGGTTGTGCAAAGGGCTCGCTGTGTTACTTGGCAGTCCAGCTGTCCTCGTCTTTTCACATGCAGTTAGGCAGCTGCACATCACTTTCATACTACTGCTGTAGTGTGACTGGTTACTTAAATTACTGCAGAGATTGTTCAGTTGGCAACGGTGAGGGGAGGAGTCCAGCAGATCATCTGAGGATGTGGTCTGTGCATAGAAGGTTTGGGGAGGGTAATGTTTACTCACTAGCCAGTTCATTACAACTCCCTAGACTCTTCTTCTTGAATGTGGCTGTTGTTGGCATGCTTAACCTTTTGTTCTTAAACTTCCTGTGCTAGCAGGACATTGCTGTGAATGCATGACTGTCATAACTCTAGCTTTGTTTTGTCGTAGTCACATTGATCAGACAACAACATGGCAGGATCCTAGGAAGGCCATGCTTTCCCAGATGAATGTTACAGCTCCCACCAGTCCTTCTGTGCAGCAGAACATCATGAACTCAGCATCAGGTAAGCCAGATTTGTGTTTATGAAAAAGATCATATAAATGAAAATGCCGCTAGCTATTTTAATTGAGGGGGAGTCTAGATCTCTCAACTGCCCTTCTAATTATCCTGGTTTTAAACTTTATTAATGCCTGATGCATCAAGCAAGAGGCTGATACTTGAGGTAAGAGAATTTTATATATGATGTCAGCAGAAAGAATCCTGTAGTTCTTTGGTTTGTATTTTTTTCAAATGGATAATTCAGGTATTTTAAAGAAGCAGAATTCTTGTCTACTTGCTTCTGAGTGGAAATGCTGTTAAATTGATGAAGTCCAGAATTTTCATTAAATTAGTGCCAATTTATATTAAAGCTACTGTGCTTCTGCAGTGTCTTCTACCTCCCCTTGCTCACTTACAAGACTTTGTATACTCCCATTCATTTACATTTCCTACATTTGTTAGGCAGATGCCTGGAAAATCTTGATTTTTGTTTTTTTTTTGTTGTTTGTTTGTTTTTTGTTTTCCTCTTCTTTTCCTATAATATCCAAAATACTGTAACTGAGGAAGCCTGGTATCTTTTCCTGGAATATAGAATTGGTTTTCAGGTAGTTGGGGCAGGACATCACTGTAGTGATAGGACAAGGGTAACGGGTTAAAACTTAAACAGGGGAAGTTTAGGTTGGATATAAGGAGGAAATTCTTTCCTGTTAGAGTGGTGAGGCACTGGAATAGGTTGCCCAGGGAGGTTGTGAATGTTCCATCCCTGGCAGTGTTCAAGACCAGGCTGGACAAGGCCTTGGGTGATATGGTTTAGTGTGAGGTGTCCTGCCCATGGCAGGGGCGTTGGAACTTGATGATCTTAAGGTCCTTTCCAACCCTAACTATTCTATGATTCTATTCTAAGATGATATTCCCAGCCACTATAAATGAGCAATTTCTTTACCTGAATGAAGCTTATCCTATCTGCAAAGGATCTAGCTTGGAGCACTTGCAGCACAGGCTCACTAGACAGCAGTAAAGAAGCGTGCTTGTTCTTGCTACAGAATCTGCTGTATGTTTTCAGAGCTCTCTTGTCCTGAGCAAGCAGATAAACTTGGTGCTGTGCTAGTTTGGCTGCTTCAGTCTTCCCTATGCTTTGGCACCTTTTGTCTGTTGCTGAGGTTCATGTTTTATTTACTTTCTCACAGTCTGATTGTATTTTGTGTACGTCTGCTGTTCCTGTGCTTCACAAAGGTTATTCTCTGGTGCTGCTTTTTGTTGTCTGTTCAGACAGCTTTGTGTCATGCTGGAATTCACATGCTGCAGACAATCCCAAAAGATTAACAGGCGTGACCAAACTGTACTGTTCATGACTGAGTGTTAGCGAGGAAGCTAATCAAACTTTGTGCTGCCTAGGCCAGGAGGTTGGCTTATCCTGAAACAAATGAGAGTCCTGTTCAAGTGCAGGAAGTCATGATTCAGAGCAATTAAGGTCTCAGGCTCTGGTGTGAAAGTGTAATACATGTGATTATGTTTTCTGGAAATAGCCCAGGAAACCTGCAGCAATAGAGATGACATGTTTTTGCAGGGATAATTCAGAAGAACAGAAAATAGGAGAGAGGAACAATTCTCTCGGTCTGTATTGCCTTTGGCTTATCTTTTTTGTGCTAAAACTAGATGTTTGCCGTTTGAATATTGACATAAATTCTGTGTTTTAAGATAACTCCTTGAACCTTCTGTTTTACTAAGAATTAACAGGAAAAAATGTTGATAGTGAAGTAGGATTCCTTTTATGTATTTAACAGGAAATGAAAGGGTCCTTAGCAAAAAAATAAAGTAGTTAGTTGTGAGGGGTAAAAATCTAAAAGACAATCTAGCAATTGATACAAGAGAATTATTTTTTAAAAGAAAATCGGTAACTTACATAAAATTGACTGATGTAAGCATATGAGCAAGTGATTCTGCATAGATATTGTTGCTCATGCAATAAAAAAGTGTTAAGATGTTCAAGTAGGTTGTCTTGTGACTTGAGAAAGCAGTTATCTGAATACAAGTTCATTGAATTTATTTTAAATTTCACAAATGATACCATATTGAATATGAACTGAAAATCTTGTAAAGTTGGTTTTTTTTCCACCCTGGTGCTCTGAATTTGTAAAGTGCATGAAGAAATCAGAACTTCTGGTTATATTGAGTTGTGTGTTTACATGGCATTGCTTTTTTTAAGGCTTAAATCAGAGGTAGTATGACTTGGAACTGGCTCCTTAGATGCACCTGCTTACCCTTAACTTACTTGCATGTAACAAAAATGCAATGTCTGGTTTGAATTAAATAATAATGAACCTGCATTTATTGGATATGATTCTGTTTCTGGTACCTGATTTGGCAAATCTTTGTGTACTAACTTTAAATTATGACTGTATTATTTGTTTTATTAAAGTCTGTTATATCTGGCTCTGTTACTTTTTGCTGTTCATGGCAACTTACGCTTCCTTGGTGGCCTTGGTAATAAAAAATCTTTGAGAGAAACAGAAAAATCAAGTAAACTGTTAACCAATTTAGCACTCTGGAACTTAAATCTGAGTTCTGGTGTTAAAAATACAAGATTACTTAGTGTTCCAACTTGGATATTCATCAAGAACTGGGAAATAAAACTGATACCTTTAAGACAGAAGTTTCCCGCTATGAAATATTGCTGGTAATGAAACATGCCCTGGTGCTTTGAGAGCCTTTCGTGAAAGAGACTGTGAAAAACTCATTAGTTGTAGCCCTTAATCAGCAGTTACTGTCCCAAGCATTAGTATATTTATACTATTATTTATATTTATACAGACTGCCATAAGAGCTTGTGAGTTAAGTTGCTCTGGTGAAATTGAGAGATTTTTAGGAGCTGTCTTGAAAGCCATTAGAAGCTTTAGCCATTTAGCCAGCATTACAATTCTAGGCATTCACTAGAATTAAGAACAGGAAAACAAACTGAAGAGCGAGAGAGAACTGAACCTGGACAGCTGCTGTCTGCATCTTGAATATAAAGCTGTTGTCTTTTCCGGTTAATTAGGATAAGTGGAGGTGAGGGAAAATGGGAAGAATGCAAAACTGGAAGGTGTGATATAGGTGAAGGCAAGTCAAAAGAGTTTTTAAAATAAAAACAGGGAAGGTGTCATTTCGCATAAGGTTGGGGTTTTTTAGGTTGTTTTTCTTAAGAAATCCCACCTCTGGAGGCAGCTTAAGACTGTATGAGAATCCAAGTAGCTTGCTGCAAGTCATGTTTCTTTAAGGAAATGAATAGGCATCTGAAACAGCTTCATCTGATCCTATCAAGATTCTGTGAATGAACTGGTTTATGAGTGTTAGGGTAAAACCTTTACAGGAGGGCATTGATATATGAAAAGTGGCGAGGTGGGGAGGGTTTCCACTCTTTTTGTTTCTTTAATTTTCTTTTTTGCTCTCAGTCTTGCTGAACTTCATATAATCAACTAAAATGGTTTAAGCGCTATGTATGCAGAGAAACAAACAATGCTCTTTCAGATGGCATTTGTTGATTAATCTTCTGTGAAACGTGATAGCGTCTTCACATCAGTAATGGAAAGAAAAGAAGCCTGTTACTTCTAAGTATGCAACTTATGTATAACATTTAGTCTTGACTGTTAATGATTTTTTGTGTATGTGTTTCTAACAGTTTTTTCCTTAAAGGTATTACAGGAGAAACTATGTTCTGTCTTGATTTGGAAAAGAAAAAAAGTAAACAGTGAAATAATAAGTTTGTTGTCCTTCTAAGGAGCCTCTCCTATACATTTCTTACTGAGGTGAAGTTATAAATTTGAAAGTAAATAATGTTTCTTGTACAGTTAGAGTTGATATAACAGAGATGGGATAGTAATTGTATTTGCAGACTTCCATTCTTCAGATACTTTTACTTCCTGAATTATGCTTGACAGCACAGCTTACTTCAGCCTCTTCTGCTTGTGTGTAGACATTAGGTAATGAGCTTTGGAGCAGATGACCTGTCTTTGTCCTCTTTTGTCTTCACACTTATACTGCAGTTCTGGATTTGGCACCCTGGTAAAGGTTTGTAGATCTAGTGTAATTCCATTGCCTCTTAGGGTAAGACCGTAGTGCCATATTAAAGGTTGGTGGGAAAATGAACACTCATTCATAACTCCTGAGGGTTTTTCTTGGTAGGGAGGAATATGCCAGTAACTTCATATTGCTAGCTCTTCTCTAAGATTCTTGCTTGTTTCAGTTGCTGGTTTCTCCTCTATGTAACCAGTCATACTACAAATCCTGCTTCATGTACAGTCAACACTGCATATGATCTGTTGTGAAACTGGAGTTTCTAAGTATCTGCGTGACAGTAATGCTCATTTCTTCCTTCATCTGCAAAAAAATGCCCCTTTTTGATAGTGTCTTTTTGTAAGTTTAACTGATTTGACAGAATGAAGGTCTTCAGGTAAATTTTGTAGAATTTGATATTATCTTAAAAAGTTTTATAATCACAGTGATAGTGATAGAAGGGGGAAATTTCAACTTTCACAGAGAAAGATTAAGAAGGTTCTTAGAAATCAGTGTTTGCATTAGGTGCAGGTGATTCCTGCTGTTGAATGTAACTGTTCCAGTTCCTGGGTTGTCCATAAATATTTAGTATCTCGATAAGGGTGCCCTTATATGCATTAGCCTCTTGATAAAATATAGCTTTATTTACATTTATTTTACACATAAACATCACAGACTGTGGGGACTTGCAAGATTTACTTTGTATCCCAGCATAGCTGGAACCTCTAGTACATTTTTACTTTTGTTCCTCTTCCCGTTGCTTTCTCTCTGCCAGCAGTGAGCACTGCTTTGTGTTTAAGGTTCTGTGTTTTATGGCATATGAAAAAGTTACACCATTATATATTTTGTTACAGAGGTATGCCTTATCAGTAGTTCTGTAAGGATAGCTTATATTTGGAAACTGGAATATAATTTTTTAATAATCTTGTCTTTAAAAGTACCATAGTAAATTGAGAGTTCCTTTGAAGAGTTGTCTCTCCCTGTGCAAATAACTACATAGATTTGTAAGCTTATGGTTGTGATTGTGTGCAACTGACCTACAAGGCACCAAACAGAACTAGTAGGAGTTCAGGCTACCAGGATATTGTTGGTTATAAATATTTACAAAGGCTCAAGGGGAGACTGGAAAACATTGAGATTCTTTGGCACCTAGCAAGTAGATAGAATCTGGCACAAGAAATCACCTGAGGTACTGGGAGTCCAAGTAACTGTTAGTAGCCACTACACTTTTTGGGTCTGTATGTGTATTCAGTGCTCTACTTAAAAGTTTATACAGTGTGACAGTCACTAAACAAGCTGCATTCAGCAACAAGACCTGACCTTTATCCCAGACTGGATGCCTGGGATAAACAGACTGTTGGTTAGACCCAGGATGGATGTTTTTGTAGAACATGAGCTACTGTAGCTGTGGTAATAGTGGTGAGAAGGTCTGAAGAGCAGCAACATAGAGCGTATATAACTTAAGACACTTAAAAACATAAGTTAATGCTGGGAATTTTGTTCCTGTTGAGCCTTTGAGGAGGGGGAAAGGGCATGTAATTGCACAGGCATTTTCCTAGATGCTCTGAGTAAATGTGTCTGCTACTCTCCACCATGGTTTCCCATTTTTCCTCCGTTACTTGTCTCTAATACAGCATTTGTCAGTCAGTCAGTTACAAAATCAGACTTGACAGTCTTCTGGTTTCACAACTGCTCACAAAACCAAACAGGAATTCTAGAAAACAGGACTAACTAATTTTTGAACTACCATTTCAACATGTAAAGATGACAAGAGAAGTATGAGGTAGTTTACTGGCCAAGGAAGAAAGCAACATTGCAATTAATGCCAAAAGTTTCTAGAGAGAAAAGTTCTGTCTGCAGCTGTTGATGGCACTTAGCAAGTAAGACTTGCTACTAGGACAGCCAGGTGAGCAGACAGACCTTTCCTGTCCTGACCACAGCTGTACATTTTATTTAGAACGAGAACCTTGCCCAGGTTTGTCTCTAGTAAGCTAGTACTCATCAGATCACTGAATCTCATAAACAGTATTGTTCTACCAGGTAGGTGGACTGATCGGTTCCTGGCATCCTGCTTCAAAGGCATTTTATTCTTACTACAAAGGAACATGCTGGATCAGTATACACTTTATTCAGTGTTCAGCAGGACTGACACCCCAAGGCTAGTTTTGTTTTTCCTAGAGCCAGCTGGGGTTTTTTGCTTTGCAGTTCAAAAGAGAATTTCTTGCTGAGTTTCGTCTCCGAGGGATGTGTGGCTTATAAGGCTTCTGAGAAGACTGGTAGCAAGGTGTCTGTCCTCATGGGTAGCATATTGACTTAGCAGTCAAGGAACATTTTTGGTTCTTCATTGGCTTCTACGCTTGGGTGCTGTGGGGCATGTTGCTGTGCTCCTGCGCCCCAGTTTTGTACAACAGCATCTTAACTGGTTAGGTGGCAACTCTTTGGGTATGGTAACAAAACACAGGGTTCTTTGCACTTGAGCTTTCAGTTCTGCATCAGAGTCCTGATATACTGTGAATATGTAAGGATTTATGAATGTTTTGCAGTGTTGTCACCCTTTCTTGCCTGTTCTTTTCACTAGCTACTGATCAAAGCTGAAGTACTCTTGTTAATTGTATACAGCATTGAAAGCTTGTGAGTGTTAAGTATGGGAAGGAAATGTCCAATGGTTAGATCACTGGTTTTCCTCACATGAAAGAACTAGTGGTGGAGTAGTGAGGCTTTTAGAGAAAGGCATAGTTTTCTGAGACAAAATAAGAGTTTAAATTAGAAATGTAGTTTTCAGGGGTTCCTCAAAGACCACAATAAAGTTCTTGTCCTGGTTACTCCTTGGGATATTATTGGAATGCAATGAATGATTATTTTATTCTTTTTGACATTTCTCCAAGAACAACTTTTGAGATTAAGCAAACAAATCTATCCTCCGCCTTCCCCTACCAGCTTTAGACAATGAGATCTTCAGTAGGAGCTTTGACTTTAGGACAAAATGACAGATTGTAATTTGAACATGGATCCAGTAGGTATTCAGGCATTTATCAGATACACATTGTTTTGTGTGTATATCTGAATCTGAGGCTGAAATATGATGGCTTCCTGGAGCAAGTCTTGTTCTAATTTCTTTTACATTTTTAATATTTGTAGCGGATCTTTTGCTATATCATCTTAGGTTTGTACTTAAATCTAAATATCTTCCTGTATCCAATTTAGATATTTTCAGAAGTCTGTATCTATGTGAGAATAAGAACTGAAAAACATGTATTTGTATAGCACCAGATGAAATGAGATGAATGTAACTTTGAGAAAAGTTTTCAGTCTAAGCAGTGTACATAAATGTACACGATCATATAGAGATGGGAATAAGTGGCTTATGAATGGTATAGCAACAAAAGGTGGTTTCTTAAAAGCTGCTCTTTGGAATTTAAGGGAAACATGCCTCAAGACTCTGTATTCAGACATTTTCAGTGGACTCCAGAACACCATCACCTACCTCCCTTTTACCATTTCCTAAATGTTGGCTTCCCTGCCTGTGCCTTCCTGCCTGTAGAGGCGTAGCACTGTGTCTGTCTGCTCCTGGTGTACTCTTTGCTTGTTTGCTTCCTGTTCTTCAGGCTTGTGTTTCGCTTGCTTAAGCCTCTAACACTTTCACAGAAAGTTAAGAGTGTGAGGAAAAGGGAAAATTAGTTTTGACACTTTGTTTATGAAAGACAGAGAATTATTTCAGGACTTCATCAGCATTACCTTGTTGCTGTTGGTGGGCCTTAATCACCACATGAACTTCCACATGAGAGGTAGAATCTCTCTGTGCTTTTTTTTCTTCTGGTGCTTATGCTGGTTTCATTCTGGCAGGCTTGACTTATTGCTGGTTTTGTACTATAATGCTGTAGCAACAGGGAGTGTCAAAAGCATATGAAAGGATGCAAACAAGTTATAAAATTAAACTCCAAATCCTAAATCAAAGTGATAGAAGTGTTTTCTGTTCTTTGATTTCCCACCCACCACTTCTTTGCACTTATCCCAGCGATGTTAGACATGAGCTTGAAACTCTTCTGTTTCATGTACTGTTATATATGTAAAATGTTGGAATTTCTTTTAGATCAATTTCAGCTGGAGCAAACAAGAGCTCGCCATCAACTCCTTCCTTCTATATTGCAGGCCCACTCCCCGATGGATGGGAACAAGCTATGACCCAGGATGGAGAAATTTACTACATAAACCATAAGAACAAGACCACATCTTGGCTAGACCCAAGGCTTGACCCACGCTTTGGTAAAAGTTCATATCGCTTCAGAATTTCTGATTTGCTTCAGTTCACTCAACTTTAATATTTCAGGCATATTTTGTAAAACTTCTTCTAGTACGATTTTAATTTGAATTATAGAGACCTTATTTAAATCATTAATTTAAAAAATACTAAATGGATAAGCATAATTCCGTTAGGAGTATATGTCACAAAGGTTTTTAATGCTAGGGGTTGGTATTTTGCCAATCCATACAGTTCCCCAAATCGGTGGCATTCAGAAATTACCTATCTAGAGACAGTTTCAGCCAAGCTCACTCTTTCTTATAAAATTGCAAAATTTTACCATACAGGAATCTTTAACTTTACAAACAAATATTTGTGCTCCTTTGTGCTGTCTTCAAGAAGAAGGCATTGTCAAATAATAATTTATGCTGTTTAAATACACTTGAAACACACACCAGCTTATAATTCCAGCTTGTCATAGTGATGATCATAACAAAACTTTGTTTTAAACGATATGGAGATAAATGGTAGGTTTTGTTGCTTCTACTTTAATAATCTTCTTATGGGGTAAAGACTATATAATACTGGAAATAGAAATAATAAATTAGGGATCACAAGGTCTAGATGTAAAAATGTAATGAAATAGAATTAATATCTCATTTTTTTGTTTTTGATCTATATGAACTGCAGAGCTGCAAATGTTTCAGTAAAACATTGGCACTGATGATTATGAACAGCAATACATATAATATTAAGAGACTAAACTAGTCCCTTAGATTGCCCAAGTGATTGTTCTGATGTATTTAAGGTGATATTACAACTTTAGTTTTCGTATAAAGCCATGACTGGTGTATGTAAGCTTTATTAGTTGTATTAATTTGGCCTTGATTTTTTTTCCCAATAACTTACTATTTTCAGCTCCTTGGGATTTTAGTTATTTTTCCAGAGCCATGGAAAAAACAGTAGGGGTAAAAAATAAAAATAAAAAAAAAATAAAATAGAAGAGATCATTGTGGTTTCCAGGCTTTAGTTTTGGACTCGATGCAACTAAATGAAAACAGTGTGCAGATCACTGAGTAGGTCAGGCTGAGGGGATACAAAGCCTTTGAAGCTTTACAGGGGTTGACCTAACAACAACTGTGGGCCCCTTTTGGGAGAGGCATTAACTCCATGAATGCCATATATAAACACAGAGCTGCAAAACTCACAGTCACTGTTCTGGTTTGTTTTTCTGAAATGGCTGTTAGAAATTTCATCATTTTTGTTCTGTAGGCTTGAGTGCTTAGTTTAAACATCCGTTTGCTCTTCTGGAGAGCACCAGGTTGTCACACTTTGTTTATAAACTGCTCACCAGTTTGTAGACAGGTTGAACCACTGTGCAACTTGAGCCCAAAGGTGGGGCGTGTATTGAAGGTTGTCAGCTTTGGCAAATGTCCCTGCTGGCTTGAACACCAGCCAGAGTTGCAGACCTGTTTGCGTGTTGTAAGGGGAGTGTGTGGATAATTTGCAACTTCACAATTACTTAATATGTGAATAAGGCTGAAAAGGAAGCAGTCATCTTGAAAATCAGTGTTGCCTTTTGCAGTTAAAAGAGGCAGGTCAATTATATTTACTTAAGTAATCTTGCAGGGTATGTATTTTTCTTTTCCTTATATTACTTTATAGTTTCCAGTGCTGAGCTCAAATTAAAAAGGAATGTGGAAAAGGCTTTAATTGACAGAGGTCAATTAAATGAATCTTGTTTCTCAGAACTATTTTGTACTCCCTTAAATACCATGGTTTAACTGTTAAGGGCAAAAGCCACTTGTCTTGTGCATGCTGAAACTCCATCAACTGTTAGGGCTGTGCAGTTAAATTGAAAGAAGATAGTAATGGCCAAAAGACTGCATGAGGGTTTCTTGCTGCATAGCTTCCCTTTTTGGGCCCACTGCGTATGTGTATCCCAGACAGGCTTGAGTATATGCCAAAGCTCTTTATTTTGTGGTCGGACTTTTAATCTGTTCCAGACCTTTTCAGTCAAAGAGCTCAAGTTTAACTGAAAGGGGCAGGAAAGGGAAAAAAAAAGCATGTGGGCTCTTCTGATCTAGAGTGACGGCAAATAGAGACAAGCTGCTAGCTGCTGTTGAGCTTGAAGGAGTTTTCCTTGAAATCTCAAGTTGTATGTATTGTATTGTGGTTTATGTTTTTATCATTTGAGCCAAGAAAATACAAAATTTTATTCATCTTGCTTTCTTACTTGAGACCTCCTTAAGTCACTCCAGTAAAGAAGAAAAAAATCTGTTTGACAGAGCGAGCTTACTGAGCCTTGCATTTATTTATCGTGTGGAGATCCTCAACAAATATGTGCTGTGACCCTAAATAGCATGTGAATGACTCAGAAGTTTACCTTTCTCTGCTTCATATAGGTTGAAAATTGCTGGTTTTTTTTCCCCTTGGGGATTATCATTCCCTTTTCTGTCACTGTGTTTTAATATAAGAGCTTAGATTTCACTATTTTTTTTGACTACTAACACTTTCAGAAGCAATCCTAAGTGGATTCATCTCTGTCATTTTGAAGCTTTTGATTAGTATAGTGATACTAATGTTGATTGAAACAGAAGGAGAAATTCATTTCTTCCTTGATAATGCAACTTTCATGAATCTGAAGAACCATTGAAAACAATAAAGCTGTTGAATGGTATGTGCAAACATACTCTTCTGTTCCAGTACTCAGAAACAGAAGGTTTGAAGAGTCTTTGCTCTTATGCTTCTGAATTCCCAGCTTCCTGGGAGACAGCCCTTATGTCTTTGTATGTTCCTCATTGGATAGAAGCTTTATATTCATCTTTATTTTCTCCAGTAGGTGTGCATGTACCTCTTTTTTCTCCCCTCCTTTTTCTTTTTTCAAAGAAGTAGTGCTGGTAATTTTCCATTCATGTAGCTAGAAAAGAGAGAGGAAGGAGGATCAGTTAGAAGAAATTGTTTTAGGCATACACAGCTACTTACTGACTTGGTAAGGGGAATTTGGGTATTGCATTCATGCTTTTAAACAGGAAATAAAAGGATGTAGTTAATATGGATTCTTTCTTGGAGCAGGCTTTTAAGACTGATGTGTCAGATAAGAGTCCCAGTCTGAATACCCGCTGTGGAGTAGGCTGGATCTAAAACCTTAGTGCTCCAAGTTGAAGATAAGGACTTTGTTCCAAGACTCAGCTAAAGTCTTTGAAGTGAGCTTGAGGTCTTCAGCTATACCACTTAAGCAGCAGTGAAGTCTTGTAGCTCAGATGTTGATCATCCAAGTCTATGTATTTGACTTTAGAACAGTTTTAGGTTAGGAGAATTCACAAACTTTAAAATCTAGAAAAGAACTAACTATGAGAGAAGGGTCTTCTTGTGCCAAGCACAGTCAATCATAAAAGATGATATGGGATCAAAGGAATGGGGATGGAAAGGGGGGTCCTTAGGCCTATGTCAGCAGGATTCTTGTCTAATGGAGCATCTGGTACAAACATGCTGTCCTACCTTCTCAGTGCCTTTGCAGGCTGCATAGTAAGAGGCTTCAAATTACTTTTATTTATACATTTATTTATTTAGATGGTTATTTCTTTAAGTTAATTGGACTGTCAGGTTGAGTTTGTGTTTTGGACTGGTTTGTCTTTCACTACCTTCTACTCTTGTTTATTGGTCATACTTCACAGATCATACTGATTTTTCTTTTTAAGCCTTCCAGATAAGTTAATAAGTTACCTTGGTAGTAAAAGAACGTGAGGGTCATCTGTGCATTCTGAGTGGCTGAAGTTGGTGAAGTAGAGCATATGTTTTTCTGTAAAATTAAATTTCCTAGAACCAGTTGAAGTTTGGAATCGCTCAGTTTTATTGCTACAAGTTTCAAAGAATTGGCTTTTGTATCAAATACCATTAATGTGATTTTAAACTGTTACTTAAGTTTGCAGATGATAGGGCTTGTTTTTGAAATGAAATTCTAAAGTAATTTGCCTTTTGAGGAAACTTTTTATTCAAAGATGGGTCATGAATTGGGAAAATACCAGAAACTGGCAGTTTATTTCTGCATGTCTAGTGAGTTGGTGTCTTGTGTTTAAACAGTAGTACTCCATTAGAGAAGTCAGACAAGTCTGTCTGCAGGAATTAGAGTAAAACAAGATACTGTTTCAGTTTTCTTGTTATTTTATTCCAGACTCCAGTTTTATAGGCTCGTTACTGGTGATCATACCAGTGCTACACATGTCCAGTCCTTTTCCTTCTGTTCTTTCAAGTATCAGAGCTGCCATATGGGGAATAAAGCAAAAGGTGTGACCTCAGATTGAAATCATTACCACAACTTTATTTTTATCACTTCCACTTAGAGATTACGTTAATGTTTTGGTTTTTTTTTAAGTTCTGTATGAATTCTGAATGAGGGGGAAGGCAAGGAAAGACAGTGTTTAATATCATTATGCAAAGGGCCATAGAGGCTTTGTGTACAGTAGCTGCTTGATAATACACAAGTAAGAAAAGGAATAAAAGTGATAAGAATTGGGAGTATAGAGAATGCACATCAGAATTTTCTCCTTCCTTTTTTTGTAGTGCAAGAACCTTTGAAACAATGAAAAGGGCTTGTGCAGAAATACTGAAGTAAAGTGCACTTGTAGATTTAATTGAAACATGTTTTTATCATTTCCATTAATAAAACCCAAAAAAATAAACCACACACCAAATCTGAAATGTGCTTAAGATTCAGAGCATCTGCTAATTTTCAAGTATCAGAAATTAAATGGAAGTATTCCATACTGTTGCTTTCTTATTCTTTACCTGACTAGCATTTCAATATGCGTATCTTAAAGTTAGTTTGTAGGATCCTTGCCAGAGGCATATGCGTGGGCAAGACAGAACTGGAGCCCTAGACTGGATGCATATTTTCTGTGTCTGGTCACAGTGGCATTCCACGTTTTTTAAGATCCAGATCTGCAGAAATGCGCAAAAGCATAGCATGCGTAAAATTTGGTTTTGATCTGCAAATGCAGTGGCATATTCTTGTTTACATGCA